AGTCTTAAAATATATTTTTATATTTAATTATAAAGTTTAAAGCTTCAAAATTAGTGAAAATCGACATATCTATGAAAACTTAAAAATCTTGAAAATTGACGATCCAAAAATGTGTAACGACATAAACTATTTCCAAAACTTGTAATCTATTTTTTTCTTATGTCCATGTATCTTGATGTCGAGATGGTCAATTTGAAGATATTTAGACATCAAAATAACCTCGAAATTTTTTAAGTAGGCTCAAATTTGATTTTTTAGAGCCTCGGCTCTATATAACATTTCCCATGTTTAAAATCCTCAATAGGCTGGGTGATCGGCCCTCCCATAAACCGATGGAGGTCAACAAATCATCAATCTGGATTGAAGATCTGGCCCATAGAATGAGCGAATACAAAATAAAAAATAAAAAATTAATAAATGCTAAAATAAAAATCAGGGCCGGATCGGCTTGTTCCAAGGGCAAATTTCGTGGTTAGTGATATATTCAGGAATCGGAATAGCCTCACCAATTTCTAAATCAGATCCAATTCCCATTCAAATAAGCAACATTTTGATTGGAATTTTGAAATTATACCAAATCACATGGGTAACTTATTAAATAATCAACATCTTATGTGCATTTTTCCACATACTTCCAATTTAGCAATTTAGCAATTAGGAGAAGATAGATCTTATGAACTATTTAACATTTTTCCCTTGGAATAGTTTATGAAAATTGCAAAATTCATGTTGATGCATGATCTAGTGGGCTATTTGTACCATGATCAAAATAACGAAAGATACTATTTTGAAATTAGATAATAAATATGGATAACTTAAATATTAGAACCTAGTTTAAAAGGGATTGTATATTATAAGGCCATCTATTTTTTAATAAAAAAGTGACAAATGCTATATTAGTCATTAGATGTTTTGATAACTCAAAATATGTCATAAAGTTCGAAAAAATAAAAATTTGAGCCCATTCAATAATACCTTTACAATCACTTGATTTGATATCTCGTGGATAAGAATGATTAGGCATCCTTCTTTTAAAAGTAGATCGTCCTTTATATACTTTTTCAATATAAAATTCTTAAAAATATTAAATTGTATATTATAAGACAATTTACTTTTCCTATAAGAAGGTCAATATTATTTTTAACCATTGGATATAAAATGTAATTGATTGAAATGTGTCACATCCTAATTATTTTATTTTGGATTATGTGCCCAATAAATGACACATCCCTGGATCACTCGATTTCATAATGAAAGTTCAACAATGATTGTGACTTTTTTTTTTTTTAAAAAAAAAAAAGTTTATATAAGAGCGAGGCTCTAAACAATTAAATTAAGATGCACCTTAAAAATCCACAAGAAAAAGTTATTTCGAAGTCCAAAAATTTCCAAATCAATCATCTCGACCACAAGATGTATGAAGATGAGAAAAAATAGATTTCAAGTATTAAAAATAGTCCATCTTGTAATGTATTTGTTGACCGTCAATTTTTCAAGATTTTTTAATTGTTCATAGATCTTCTCGATCAACAATATTTTTGAAGCTTTAAATTTTATAATTAGATATAAAAATAAAGTTTTAATCCATCACAAAGATTTCTAGCATCGAAAAATATATTCCGACACTATTTAAAGATTCGCCTTACTTCGATTGTTTGGAACCTCAGCCCTATACAAATCACACCCTTAAAAATATGGGTGGAAATTGACTCCAAATCCCCCAAGGGCATTTTTGGTATCCAAATCCTACGTGGCATTCTTGCTTGCGTTAATTATTTGATTACGCAATAAGACCCCCATTTATACTCTATTTATAGTAACAAACAACGATTACACGGAAAAGCTATTTTAGCTAATAACAAAGAGCTTTTTTAATGCAAAAATTGGGGTCTTTTCAAAGCGAAAGAAACCAAAGAAAACCCAACTCCTCTTTATCACCAACTTTAATTTTTTACCAAAAGAAAAGCAAAGAAAAGGACTTCCGTGTTTTCATTATTACCAACTATTTTCTATGTAGGCCATTCTGCCAACATTCAATGCACCCTCTCTCCTCCGCCTTTTCTTTTTGAAGAAACTCCTCTCTCTTCCACCTCTTTATAAATCCAGGGGCGACGGTTCACCCCGTGAATTTGTTAGATCTATAAAATTAAAAAATTATTAGATAAATTTTAAAAAGAAATTAAAATAGGAGTTTTAAGGGAGCATCGGGCTAAGATTGATGCTTTTCTAGAACCGGTTCAAAACTGATCGATTCTCGATTGGAATCAACGATTCCAAATTTGGATTATTAGATTTTGAAAAATTGGTTTGAAACATTGAAAAATGGAGAATTGAGTGATTGTCTTTATTCTAAAATGGGATACAAATAAATAAAATAAGTGACTCCAAGGTATCAAATCATGAGAAATGATCTCCAAGAGAGAGACAAGTCTCTAAGAAAAAGACATCACCTCCTAAAGAGAAGATGTTTTTCGTAGAGGTTTGTATCAATAATTTCTACTTTGGGATTGCTCGATCCAAAGATCAGGTTTAGAATAGAAGATATTTGAGGTTTTTATTGAAATTCAGAGAGAAGTATATTTTTTGTAACCTAAAATTATAATCTTCTTTAAGATAATAGATTTTTTTTTATCGAGAGACATAGCCCAACAAAGTTAACTATATAAATCTTCTATGTGATTGTGGCGTTTTGTTGTGGATTCAACAATTTTTTTTTACTTTAAAATTAGTTTGTTTTTTTAGATAAAATATGAGAAAATCAATATTAATATTTAATTGTATTTTATTTGGGACCGAGTGCGTATGTTATGCTCCGACTCAAGCATTAGTATATATTTACTGCCTCAACTAGAAGACCTATCTAAGAGGATTTATTCAATCCAACATTTCAAGAATCACCTAAGAATCTTATATAATTATTTCAAGCAAAACGAAATTGAGTTTTGAGTTTTCTAATACTTAGATCTCGCCCTCTATAAATTAAATACCCTCTATTCAATCTTGATATATTATTATTTTTAAGTGCATAGAGAGTCATCATTATCTGGGGTCAGCTATATGATTCTTGATCGTCATTCTGTATATCTTTTCTCACTGCTTCTAACCATCTACTTTTGGCCTTACCTCTTGCCATTTTTTAGTCTTTTATTTGAACTAAATCACACCTCCAAGAAGGTGTTGTATTAGGTTTTGCGCCACACATAGGCAGCCCATCTAAATTTACTCTCTCTAGTCTTATTGCTTATTGGTGCCTCACCTAAATTCTCTCAAATATATTCATTTCGAGTTCTATCCCTTCTTGTATTGCCACTCATCCATCTCTACATCATCATTTATGCTACACTCATCCTATAGATATATTGTTTTCAAGCGCATAAAGAGTACAAATAGGATTTTTTTTTTTTAATTTAAGTTAATTTATTAGTTGAAGAGGTTAAGTTTCTATAATTGGAGTCCTAAAATTAATCCTATGAGAGTAATATCTTTAGAAAAAGTTTATATAAGGTTGCAACCTTAAAATGTAGAACTACGGATGCACATAAAAAATCCACCGGAAAAGTTTGTTTTAATGTTGAGCATCTCAACATCGAGATGTATGACAATGAAAGAAAAAAGGATTTTGAGTCCAAAAAATAGTACATCTTACAACATATTACCTAGACTGTCCATTTTCAAAATTTACATATGTTTATAGATCTACTTGATTTTAACTATTTTTGAAGTTTAAAAATTCTATAATTAGATATGAAGATAGATTTTGAGATAATCCTAAGAATAATTTACATCAAAATTATATGTTATGATCAAATTTGAAGGTGCGCCTTAATTGGATTGTTTAAAGTTGCAACCTTATGGAAACTACACCCAATATCTTTTGGCTTTTGCACTGACCTAAAATGCGACGCAGTGAAGAGGAGGTTTAAGAGGCCAATAACTTCAATTTTAAAAAAAGAAAAGTGTTTTATGTGTCACGTGGAACACATGACTACATCAGTCTCCCCCGAGGCATCATAGCTGTGATCCTTCTAAAAAAGATAAAAATCAATGGTCTCTAAATGTTTTTCATAATTATCATTTTTAGTTTTTAAAATTTATTTTTTTACATATTAATGATCTCTACATTAGAGTTTTTTTTTGTTTGGGTAATTGAGTGGGGATGACTAGCCCCTACCCGTTTTTTAAAATTGTTAGTGTTTTTTAATGCGTTAAGTAAAAATAGAAACCAAAACTTTAGCCGGGGGCACAAGTGGTACAACCACCGTGAACCCAACCCCATTCTCAAAAAATCAAGAGATTAGATACACCTAAAAGATTAGGTCCAAAATCTATCTAAAAAAGAGATCATAAAGAGGGGACTTATATCTACATGAGTCTTAGGACTCATAAAAACCATGTCCTCTAAATAAAGGAAAATAGTTTTATGCGGGCTGGACCGCATTTCTACATATGAGGTCCAGAAAGTGTAAAGCATCCATCTTAAAGATGGATGCAAGTAGGTGTTCAACAAGAATGGAAACTAACCGTCTAAATTTTTTCTTTTTAGAATTATTATTTTAGAGTGTAAAATTTATTTATTTATTCATAATCATGATCTAGATTATATGTCCTTAAAACTTAAATATTAGAACCCATCTCAAAAATAGATTTATTAAGAGATCCATATTTCTACAGACGTGGACTTGGGCGCATAGAGTCCCTAAATAAATGTCATCGACCGCAAAATGGTAAGTCACCTCACCCTTTCACTCAGCGTGCCGCAAGCCACCTCACCCTTTTACTCAGCGTGCCGCAAGCCACCTCATCACCGCCGGAAAATTAGCCGCCAATTCAGCATACACAACACGCCAAATTTTGCCAGCTCAGCGTATCCCTCTATCCTACGTGGCACCACATTCTCCCGCCACTCTTCCTTCGCCTTTAAATACCATGCCCCATATCCCAAAAAACACGTAAAAAAGAAAAGAAGCTTAGAGAGAGAGATGGGAGCATACGTTCTTTAGAGAGAGAAAGAGAGAGCAGAGAGAGAAAGAGCTGTTTGTTAGAAAGAGAAAGAGAGAGCAGAGCAGAGCTTTGGTTTTAGGTTTTTGTTCTTCTGTGATAAAATGGCTGAAGAATGGCTACTGCAAGGAGATGAGGAGGAGGAGGTCCTAGGTGGGGAGGAGGGGGGTTTTGGAGAGGACGCTGTGATGGAGGTCATGAAGCGGCTCGAGGCCGAGATAACCAGAAGTGGCTCGTCTTCTTCAGGTGACACTCACACCTTTGGAAATCAGGAGACCTGCGGCGCATCCTTTTCCGACTCAAAATCCACAGTCATGGCCAGCATAGACATGGCCGGACTTGTTTTTCAGATGCCGAGTTCTAGCAAAACTGAGGACTTCGGTGTCCCGATACCCACAGCCTCCGAGCCCTTCTCAATTGAAGAGGGTGAAGACGCAGATGATTCATCCTGGTGGGTGGAGATGATGATGGTTGGGGATGAAGAGCTCTGGGAATTTGTGTTTGGTGATGACTGATTTACCTCAAAAAGAGAAATCAGCAACTTCCTTTCTGCCTCTCTTTTTCTTTTCCTTTTCCTTTTCTAAGGCCATTGTCCTTTCATTACCTGTTTTTCACAGTTTTTTGATACTTGTAGTTTTTTGGGGGATTGGAGCTTGGGAAGAGGAGCTTCTTCATTGTAAAAAGTTTACACAGAAATGAACCGTTATACGCCTGCAACTGCTGTTCATGCTCTGTCTGCTCCGCATTTTTATTTCTGTCCTCTTTTTGTCTTTTCCTTTTTTCTTCTTTCTTTTTGTCTTGGTTGACTGTTTTGTGACTTTGTCATGGGTTTTTAAACCAAGCGACTGCAAGAACCCTTGTCTTTTGAAGAAATGGCAAAATGCTACTTGGCCCTTGTGTTAATTGGATTGTGGTGCACTTTTGTACGATAGACCCTTGTGTATGACATTGGTCTTTCTCAATGTTGTCCGAAATTCGTTTTGGAGTATTTTTTGGTTTGGTGAAAAAGACGAAGTAATTCGGTGCTTCGGCTCTCGAGGAAAGCTTTAGATTTTTTTAATTTAATATAAATAAATTAGATATTTTTATATAAAAATAATGAAAAGTACAAAAAAAAAAAAAAAAAACCTTTAATATGGATATTTTTTTATTTCGACTGAATAGGGTGAAGCTTCGACCAAAACGGCTCGAAATTGATTGAAGCGGCAACACCAAGCTTTGTTTCACTTCGTTTTGGTCTATGTCTAAAATCCAAAAGCTTCGGCCTCTTTGGTCGAAGCAAAGCAGATTTGACAAAGCTAGGTCTGTATTCTCCCAAATGGGACAAGTGAATTATCAAAAAGTATACAAAGAGACTATTTATTCTTAATATATAAGGTCATAATTATTTTTGTCCCCTAGATTTCAAATCGTATGGTTATGAATAGTTATTGACTAGATTCAAAGTTAAAAACCACTTCACCAACTTTGTGACTCACACCAAAACCATCTTTTACCTTGAAGTTAGTATATAGTATATGCCCCTACATAACCGTATTGTATGCTGTCAATAAAATAACTTATGACTTAAAAAATCCCTACATGGCTTATTAATGGGCTCTAAGAACAAAATAAGTTATTATGGACAAAAAAAAAAAACCCTTGTATATCTATGTTCCGCATTCGGTGGGGAGAGAAAAAGCCAACAACTTAAGAAGGAATGTTTTATTGTTTTTATCAAAATATACTCAACTTTCCCACTATTTTACATTACTATTATTCATTATTACAACTCATGATTACATATATTTTTACAGGCCTTCTAAAATTAAATCAATAGTAGTCAATGTAAATTATAAAATTAAATCAACAAAAGTGTGTATGATGTAAAAATAATTTCTCTTAGGTGCATTTTGATAAAATTTTCTAAAATTAAATTGAAGAGCACATTAATAATTGTATAATACTTTTCCCATTCACACTCATGTGCGTGCAAAGAGAAAGAGAGACTTCCAAGCATTAAAAAGGAAATGCATTCAGAAACTAAAGAAGAGAAAGAGAAACACCATTAATATATCAAGACATGTATTTTCACAACGATATTTATGCATATAAAAATTAGAGTTATAACTTTTTAGTTTTTTTAGTGTTATTACATGTTTAGTTTTTTTTAGGGATAGGAAGTGCATTGAGATATGGGAGGAAATATTTGGTGCCCGCGTATTTTGAGTAGCTTTATCTTTAAACTATAGAAAATCAAGAGGGAAGAAAGAGAGATTTAAAAAGATCTAGATAATAAAAGATAAAAGATAAATAAAGGGGACATGAAAAGTTGTTACAAGACTAGCGAGAGATGTGACGAGAGAAATAAAATAGGGAGATGAAGAAAGAAGATAGGGAGGGAGGGAAGTACAAAACTTTTTAGAGAGAGAGATAGTTTCTTTTTTTTTATGGGTTCTTTTAAGTTATTTATTTATCTTCTTTTGAGTTACATTTAAAGGGAAAGATCCCTTATTGTAAAGAGATTAGATAATAAGAATTGAGTGAATTTGATATTCTGAAAAGATTTTTTTTGGGGTGGATTCTCTTGCAGACTTTGAGATATAGTATATTATCTCAAACTTTTATTTTATTTTTATTTATTTGTTTGTTGCTATTTCTCCTTGCATCAATTGGTATCACAGCAAGTAAGATCCATCAATTACAATGCCGCCGAAAATTAATCTTATGATTGAGGATATATTGCCACAATTCATGGATTATGTGGGTCATCAAATTCAGGAGAGATTGAACATAACATTGGAGGGTGTCTAACACGACATAAGTGAAACCTATCGCGGGATGCAACAGATGAATCAATGATTAAAATGGTTGGAGAGCAATCTTCATCACGAAGATGGTGCTCGTAACCACATCGATCTTGCATTAATAATCCCACAACAAACTCAGGGTGCTGATCCGAATCGCAACGAAAAAAAAGTGTAAACAATATCAACATCCTATAAAGCGTCTACGAGATCTATTTCATAAATTACAATCAGATGAAGAAGAATATGAAGAGGTAGATCTCAATGCAATAGATGAATCAATGATTACAACGGTTGGATAACAATCTTTATCACGAAGATGGTGCTAGCAACCACATAGATCTTGTATTAATAGTCCCACAACAAACTCAAGGTGCTGATCTGAATCGTAACGAAAAAAGTTGTAAACAAAATACACATCCTATAGAGCACCTATGAAATCTATTTCATAAATTACAATCGGAGGAAGAAGAATATTAAGCGGTAGATCTCAATGCAAAAGACGATGTTGATAGCCCAAACGTAGAAAGAATTTCAAAAATCAATTATGAAGAAATCAACATGCATTTAAATATTCCGGAGGTGGGTGTCTCAAGCTTCTACTACAAATCGTGACAGATGTATTATTTATTTATTAAAAAAAAAGTATCAAGGCACATGGTGGGACTGCATCACCAGCTTTTGAAAAGACCTCTAAAAGATTTGAGTTCTATAAAATCGAGGTCAAGCTTCTTCAAACCCGAAGAGAATGATGCAGATAAAAATTATAGTGTTATTATTTTTTAGTTTTTTAGTGGTATTATTATTTTTTATTTTTTTTAGGAATAGGAAGTTCGCTAGGATATGAGAGGGAAGATTTGATGCGTAAGTTGTCTTGAAAAGCCTTTTCTTTAAACTATAGAAAGTCATAGGGGGAGAAAGAGAGCTTTAAAGAGATCTAGATATTGGAAAAGATAAGAGACGAATAAGGGAGAGTTAAAAAGTTGTTATAAGCTTAAAGAGACGTGAGGGAGAGAGAGAGAGAAAGAGAGAGAGAGAGAAAGAGAGAGAATAAGGAAATAGAAAAAGAAGATAGGGAGAGAGGGAAGTATATAAC